GCCCATATTCAGAATACCAGAATGACAGGCACTCCAAACGTGAAACTACTACTACAAATTACCATCTGCAGTGCAGTAGCTTAGTTCACAGGTATCAGTATATATAGTTAGTCAGAGTGAGAATCTTTCCAATTAACTGCTAGATTAAAAAATCTTCTGAATATTCTCAGGATCATTGCCTTTCTCATCTTTACAAGAAAATCTTGTACACAGTGAATTTGTTAGAGTACACAGTATATCTAGACATCCTGAATTAGTAGTCTTGGGTGGGGCTTAGTAATGCCAATCCTCACCTTTAGAATAAAGATTAAGATATAATTTCACACTGCAGAGTTCACCGGCTGTATGCAAGTAAAGGACTCAATGCCCTCAGTAAATTCTTGCGCTTGGACAGCCATCTCTGCCTTCCACTTTTACAACACATCCATCAGCCCTGAAAGTCTTGTGCAGTTAGTCCTGGTAGCAACCTCCAATGGCAATCACTAATTTGCTTTTTTACTCCATAAATTTATTTTTCTGGGCATTTGATTTATATAAAATTATATAACACCTAGTTATTGATCCATCAATTCATAGCCATTTGGATTTCTAAATTTGTTTGTTGTGAATAATGTGTCTAAATTTGCATGTATGAAAGGAAAGGAAAAGAAAAAACAAGAAAAAAAAATGGAAACAAGCTTCTGTAAAAGGGGAAGAGGGCCTAAAGAGAAGGTAAAGGAATGGGAAAAAAGGAAGAATCAAGATATATCATGTACAAATACAAATTCTCTATGATGAATTTATCATTATGTATATTGAAAATATACCAATAAGCTTAATTAATTACAGAAATAGATTGGACTGGGGAGATAACTCAGTGGCATATGATCTTGTCTGGCAAGCACAAGGTCCTGAGTTCAATCCCCGGCATTAAAAAAAACTCTTGCCTTTCTCCAAATTTTTTTTAGAAACTCTTTCTGTGGCCCCATCTTTTCATTTCTTGTGGATGGATTATTTGGAATGGAATTCTGGGTTTTCTGGTCATTTTAATAAACTGCAAATTATTTTCTAAAGCAAGTGCGCCATTTCCTCACCAACATACGTCTATTCTGTGCATGCAGAGAGTCTCTATCATCCAGGGATGTGTGTGTGGCCTAATCTTGCTTCGTACATGAACAGCCTTTGGTAAACTAGAAATATAAGAAGAATTTTTTTTGTGTACTCCTGTCCTATGACCCTCCACCCACTCAAACTCCCTATAATATCCTGACTAATCTGCCAGTTCATTGTTCAGATGGGATTGCAACTTTGAGGACAATGGAGCCATGTTACTGAGATGGGCAGGTTAATCTACAAGGTTCCTAATGGGTAACTTACCTCTGGCAGTGCCCCACACTGACTGAGCTACATGGTAAGAAAACAGTTGGGGGAAGGGTAGATGCATCCCCAGGCAAGAATGTCACTGACTCAAGCTATTTTTATCCAATGTTCAATATTTTTCAGAATAAATGCTTCTTAGATTATTGTGTACCTTTGATTTCTGGAGTTGGAGATGGCCACTTTTGACAGTTTTGTCCAGCTAGGGTGTGTGTGTGTGTATGTGTGTGTGTGTGTGTGTGTGTGTGTGTGTAGAAAAATGTATCGACCCACTTATTCTGTCATGTACCAACAAGCGTCCCTTTTTAAGAAAGCCGAAACCTATTTTTGATGCATGTTTCTCTGCTGATCATACTTTGAGAAGTATTACCTAAACCATGGTCATTATTCTGTATGTACATGAGCAAATGCATCTGTGCATACACATATAAAGCACAGTATTATGTAATATGTAAATAATGTAGTTCATCTGTTTTAATCAAATTTTATTTGAAGTGGCCATGAGGACTTTTTTTTAAAAGTATACACCTTAGGTCCTGCCTCCATTTACAATATTAATATTATATGGCACATGGATAGTGGACTTACAGACATAAAACAATTAAGAACAGCTGCAAGAGCATTTCCCAACCCAAGGTTGCTGCTCACTGCACAACCCCAGGGGACCTCCTTCACATCCCTTTTCATGGAAACACTGCTCCCAGAAATTGTACTCTGGAGCACCTTTTACATAAGCAATGTATGCTCTGTGTTTGCTGAGGTTAAGACGTATGATTCTTTAACAGTTAAAATAGCTTTGACATTTCCTCCAGTCTCCTGTAATATAAGGTGAGTGAGTCACTCTCCATTTCTTTTTCTCTGCAATAAAGTGAATATCTGGCCAAACACCATCATAACACTGTTACAGTTAACAACTAGGCACTGTAGTGATAAAATAATAGATAGCATGTATGATCTTTGACACTGTACTTTACACCTTGATTTTATGACACAGAGTAAGAAAGTTCCATTGATAATGTGACTAGAAGCATGAGTTGAGCCCACTGTCTGTGTCCAACCTTACCACAGCTTTTCTGTGAGGTTTCTATTTCCCAAGCTTATTTCTGCATTTCCCTGATTAACAAATGTGTCCTATACATCATGCATTTGAGCTAAAGGAATGAAAATGTTCAAAAGTAGTTGTGCTTCAGTGTATCTCTTATTCTTTACTTCTTTCAGAATTGAGCGGCTGGCTAAGGACATTATGCAAGACCTGGGATGCTGTGACCTTATGATCCTGTGCGTGCTTAAGGGAGGTTACAAGTTCTGCGCTGATCTTGTAGAGCACCTTAAGAACATCAGCCGGAATTCAGATAGATGTGTCTCTATGAAGGTGGATTTCATCAGACTAAAGAGTTACAAGGTAAATTATTACATGTTCCCTTTTTATTGCAAGATGTTTAGGCTAAACGATGCCTTAATCAAAACTAATAAACTAACAAAATTACAAGTGTAATTTTAAAAAATTAAAATGAAACAGTAACTTTTTTTCATTTGCAAGAACACTAGAACTTGCTATTAAAATTCAGATGCTATTCTTTGGGGGAGGGAAAATAAAACCTTTCCTTTTCACATATATGGAATGACTCATCAGGAATGGTTCATGTATTCTTCTATAAAGATGAGGCTAAGCAGCTACTTCCTGGTGTCCAACCTCACAAATGACTGGTCCGTGTTGAGACGGACCAGTGAGGACCGATGCGCTTCTACCCCGGAGCTCCCCTTGGCCTTGGAGGCCTGTAAGAGTGTGTCTAGCTCAGAGAGGAAACTTTGTCCTTGTGTCTGTGTGGTCACAGCCTGGAGGTAAGGAAGGGAAACATGTAGGGACAACAACACAGGCGTAAGGAGACCAGATCAGGGACCAACAGAAGCCCCTCCACCACTTTACAGTGAGACATTTGTGGCTGCCACTGGGTAAAACTGGTAGCCTCTAAAACCATGCCTTTATTCTTCTCTTCTGATGTTAGCTTCTGTGTTACTTTCTGATTCAGTGGATGCTACATCTATTGCTTGAGGAACTCTTGGGGGCAAAACCACGATAACATTTTCACTGAGAAAATAGTTTGACATATTTGAATGTGTTAATCACTCTTCAAATCGACTTTCTAGCGGTATATAACAAAATCACCACAAACTTAATGGCACAAACGAACACAGGTTTATTATCTTATAGTTTCTGTGGGTCAGAAATCTGAGTGTGGTAGAGAGACGATTCCCTGTTCATGGTCTTACTAGGTTACATGAGCTATGGTAGTTTGGGTTTTGCTCAAGTCTGATTTGGGGTCTTTTTCCAAGATCTCTCATTATTTTCAGAAATCAGTCCCCAGTCCCCTGCTGAATGTAGGCTGCAGACCTCTCTCTGCTCCTAGAAGATGCTTCAGGTCTTTGTCTTGTGAACTTCTCTGACACAGTTTACAACCTAGTTATAGTAGCTTTTGCCTCTTCAAGCCCCATGGGAGATCACGTGGGAAGGGCCCACCCCCACTGCGCAGCTTAATTTATTAGGTCATGTTCACCCACAATAATCCTGCTTTTGATGAACTAAAAATCACGTAACCAGTTACCTATCTGGGGGGTGGATTCCAACCATCATCCCTGCTTCCCTCTCACTCCAGAGGTGAGGATTATTCATGACAAATGCACCAGAGATGCCACTTCTGATGACTTTCCTAGAATTCTACTCTCCACACTGTTCACGTGACCTTGTTTAAATAGCCTCGGGGTTAGCACTGATGTAAATTAGTTCTCATTTCTTAATTTACTCTGTTTCTTGAGGTGCTCTCCAGCCAGTTGAAAGCAGTTGTTTGTTTTATTTTTTGCAGACACCTTAACTAACTCTAGTGTCATCTTCTCTTGGAAATGTTTTCCCTCCCATCATGCTGGATTAAAAGTACCCTGAAACAGATCCATGTATACACAGCCAGTTGAATGTACACACAAAAATGTCCTTGTGTCCTTCATAGTCAGCCTCACCTATACACCCAGGCCCTCACAGCCACAAAGGCTTTTTACTCCTAGAGTTTTCTTTTTGTGGAATGTCATAAAAATGGAACTGTATCTGTGGCCTTAGAAAATCTGTAGCATAGTGCACTGCAGGTTCATCCACACTGTGTATATCAGCAGTCCATTCCTTTGTATTGTCAAACAGAAGTCCATTACATGGATAGAACACAGTTTTTAAATCCATTCATCAGCTGGAGGATATGTGGGTTGTTTCTATTTAGGAATAAAAACACCATAATTGTTCATATCCAGGTTTTTGTAGGTACTTACATCTTTGTTTTCCTTGAGTAAATATATAGTGACAAAACTGGTTGATCATATGGTAAGTGCGTATAAGAAATTGTCAGACTCGGGCTGGTGAGATGGCTCAGTGGTCTAAAGCACCTACTTGGAACAAGCTTAGCAAAGCACAGGGACCTCGGTTCAATCCCCCAGCACACCCAGCCAGCCCCGCCCCCTGGTGGGCTGAGCTGGCCACACACACACACACACACACACAAATAAATAATAAAAAAAAAAAAGAAAAGAAATTGTCAGACTCTTTTCCAAATAGGTTGAATTATTTTGCATTTCTACTGGCAGAGTGTGAGAATTTCACAGGCTGGTATTATGTTTGTATGTTTGCCCTTATTTTACCTATTAGAATAGATAATAATACCTCATTAGGTCTTTTTTTTAAAATTTATTTATTTATTACATTTATTTAGTGGGGGGGGCAGCTCAGCCCACCAGGGGGCGGGGCTGGCAGGCATGTGGTGCTGGGGGATCGATCCCACGTCTCTGTGCTTTGCTAAGCTTGTTCCAGGTAGGTGCTTTAGACCACTGAGCCATCTCTCCAGCCCTCATTAGGTCTTTAATTACATTTTTTCAATGACTAATGATGTTCAACATATTTTAATGTGATTATTTGATATTAATATAATTTTTGATGAAGTCTTGGTTCATATATCTTGTCCATTTTTAGAAGTGTGTTTGCTATTTAAATTTTGAAAGTTTTTACATATTTAGTTATGGATCCTTAATGCTTTGAATATATTTTGTACACAGTGAGTGTTTTAAAGTTTTCTAACAATGCTGTTGTCCAAAAAGCATAATTTAATTCAACTGGCTGTGTATACACGGATCTGCTTCGGGGTACTTTGTCAGGTTCGGACATCTAGCTTGTCAGCAGCACACTATTTTGATTACTGTGGCTTTATCATAAGCCTGGGAATCAGATACTATAAACCCCCAACTTTTTCATCATAGTAACTTCTAGTTATGCTTGTTCTGTGCCTTTCTGTGTTAATTCTAAAATCTCGCTGTCAATTTCTATAAAACAGTCTACTAGAATTTTAGGATTGTTTTAAGCTCATAGATCAATTTGGAGAAAATAGACACCTTAATACCACTGACTTCTATTCCATGAGTGGCGTATGCCTTCAAACTTATTTATTCATTTTGCTTATTGTTTTTATTTGTGGGAGGAGTTGAAAAAAATATTAATAATAGAGTTTTTCTTTTCTCCCTAAGCAAGAATCATTCAAGTAAAATTAACTTAACTATCAAAATGTAGCAAAGTAAGGGAAAAGCACAACCCAAGAAGCAAAGGCTAGGGGGAAGAGGAGAGTGTAGTTCACACAGAACACGTGCACAGGTGCCGTATGATTCACCAGCTCAGGACAGCCTCCTCAGAAGGTGAGCACAGGCACACTGTAAAAGGATGTCCCCTCCCAAACATTGTAAGAGGATTCCCCCCCAAACAACTGAGAACGTTTCAATTTAAAGCATAAGATTAAAAAGATAAAGAAAAAATAACCAAAGCAAAGCACAACGTAACCCCAAGAACCACTCACTCATAACCACCTTCCTTAACTGATCATAGGCATTCAAACTTAGTTTCAGTAGTTTCTAGTTTTATGGATTGAACCCTATGGCTTTTCAAAACTCTTTTATCCACATAGCTTTCTGGGGATTTTTCTATGAAGACAGAAATCTCTTTTATGAATTGAGATGATTTTATGTCCTCCTTCCTTTCTAATTAATAGTCCTTTTACCCTTAGTTGGCCCATTGCACTGGTGAGACCACCCCCTTCCCTGCTGCACAGGAGTGCTGAAAGAAAACATCCTGGCCTTGTTTACAACTGGTGCAACACTGGCTGGTGGGTTTTGAAGGTAGCCTGCTAACATTTTTTAAAATTATGAATGATGAAGGTACTCGACTGACCTTATCAGATACAAAAGTTACAGTTCTTGTTACATAGGTCTTGCTTTATCTTGGTCTTAACCATCCAGCAGAAAAGTATAAAAATGAGGTGTATAAAGTTAAACCATATTAATACAATGAGTTGTAAAAGACTCAAATCAATAACTTTTGAGGATAATCCACTACTATTATGGACTGCTGGACAATATTGGATTGTTTTGCTGAATTCAAGCACCTATAGTCTTTAGATGCCAATAGAATACCCACCTCTGACAGGGCTAAACAAAATAGGGGATACAAAGGAAGGACCATTTTGTATTTGTATGTACAAAATAGTTAGGATAGATATACAGCTACTCGCTTAATTCGATGAGAAGAAAGATTTGCAGTAATAGTGTTTGGACAGGATATCCTGTCTGCTTCTTATACTGTGGATAACCACTAAGAAGATAACAATACACAATGTGTTAATTATTGAAACTGTCCTATTAATCAGCTTTGAAACTATCTCATTGATATTTGTTCCTCAATAAAATAAAAAAATAAATGCAATTGGGAAGAGATGGGTCTTGAAAATCCGGGTGCTATAGTAAAATGTGAAGAATTAAAAAAAATAAAATTATGAATGAATATTATCAAATGCTTTTTCTGGTTCTGCTGATATGGTAAATTACATGGATCAATTTTTCTAATATCAAACCATTTTTCCAGTTGGTATTTTTATATATTCTTCTTTTAACTTATTACTCACTTAAATTCAATATTTTTGAAACTTTTTGGATTTACATTTGTTCCTTTATTTTTTTTTATGTATTTGGTATAGGGTCTCGCCACACAGTTCAGACTCGTAGTGATCCTCCTGTCTCAGCCTCCCCAGCGCTGGGATTACAGGTGTGCGCCACCACACCCAGTTTTAGTGGCCAGCTCGGCATGTGGCACTGGGCATCGAACCCCGGTCCTTGCTCTTTCCAAGCAGGCACTTGGACCACCGAGCTGTCCCCCCAGCCTATATTTTCTTTTCTTATATTGTTTTCTTCTGATCAAGTGTCAGAATTATGTTGCTCTCATAAAACTGAATTGGAAATATTTCGTTGGCATCTCTTCTCCAGAAGCACTATAAGTATTTTCAGTTCACTGAATATTTGGTAGAATTCACTAGTGAAACCATCTTGGCC